CTAACCTGCTTTAGCTGTGGGTCGCGGCACCAGAACATCCCTTAGTGAACTGAGAGAACAATTTGATGCGTTAAGACCAAAGATTTTACGGGAAATCAGGCACGACGTGAGTGAAAGCCGGTGTGGCGTCGGGCGAAGGTTGCTGCCGGCGCACTGTGGGGACTTTGCCCCTGCTAGCACGACATTACTCCTGCGGCGGTACGCCGCAGTCAGCTGACCGCCGCGGCGCCGGGCAGCGCGGCGGAGCGCTGGAAGCCACGCGACATATTCTGCTTTGATGTCTCGTAGTAGCTGTTTGGGCAAAATTGGGCAAAAGATAAGAATTGATTCCAATGCAGAATTTATGAGAGAATATTTTGATATGTGTTTCCACACGTAACCCCTGCGGCGGTATACCGCAGTCAGCTGACCGCCGCGGCGCCGGGCAGCGCGGCGGAGCGCTGGAAGCCACGCGACATCTTCTGCTTTGATGTCTCGTAGTAGCTGTTTGGGCAAAATTGGGCAAAAGATAAGAGTTGATTCCAATGCAGAATTTATGGGAGAATATTTTGATATGTGTTTCCACACGTAACCCCTGCGGCGGTACACCGCAGTCAGCTGACCGCCGCGGCGCCGGGCAGCGCGGCGGAGCGCTGGAAGCCACGCGACATCTTCTGCTTTGATGTCTCGTAGTAGCTGTTTGGGCAAAATCGGGCAAAAGATAAGAGTTGATTCCAATGCAGAATTTATGGGAGAATATTTTGATATGTGTTTCCACACGTAACACCGCGTAACTCACTTTGTAAGGCTATGATTTGCCGAGTCAAATCTCCGAGACGAGTGGCATATTAACATTTTTTGTATTTCATTCAAAAATCATACCTTTGGATTATTTTTCGAACTTTTTATGCATATGCTCGTATTCCTCATTAAATACAGATTATGAACACATGTCGCAACATCGAATTGGTGCTTGATTAAACGAGTGAGCAGGCGTTCCGTTGTCATGTTATTTTTCGCCTTATCCTAGGAGCACGGTGCTAGTGAGCTCAACCCTTCACTTTGTGACGTATTTTGATGTATAAGTCATCATTTTTTAAAGCGATTGAAGGTCGGATTCGGATACACTGGACAATTCTGCGTAGAAAGAACACAAAGAAAGTGTAAATCAAAATACTCGTATTTGCCACTTATGTCGTGCTAGGATCGCAAAAGTCCCCACGGTGCGGCGTCGGCTGAGGACCGACCCTATCGTCGGACCGGGATCAGGTCCAAAGGTCACCACTCAGCTCTCAGCAGTCAACACGGCCGTCGGGTCAGATCTCGCGTGGGGTGCTAACCATCACCAAGGCGGACGGACCGACCTTCAGCTCAGCTCAGTTTATTTGATTCTTTTTTACATGAAATACACCCGCATAACAACATTCATAAAAGTGGGTGGCTGCAAAACAAAACATGGTTTCCTTATGTGGTATGTCGAGGAACAAACATGCTGAGGACGGGAGACTAGGACAGACGACCGGTGAATAGAGAACAGACAGGCGGCTGTCAGGTCACCACGGCAGACGGACTGGAGTCTGGCGTCACCGTCATAAGCGATGCCGAGTTCGTCTGGCCTCTGATAGCCCCGTCGGCCGCCGGACCGTATTATACGGCGCCGGGGTCGCCCGGCAGCTCAGCCGGCAGATGGTTTCGCATTAGACCGGCGGCTGACTTTTTATTTTGGGAACATAGGGCTCGGATGAGGTTTGCAGAAGAGACGAGAGCGATGACGAATACCAGATAATGACCTTAAGCGGTAGCCTAGCCACAACTTCAAGTTACAAATGACGCCCAAACTGTGGTTTTCTTGAGACTAACGAACGGTGATGAAGCCCAGATAGTAAAACAGCCGTTACAGCTCGTAACGCCGCATCAGATGTTATTCCAAACACTCGTTTCGCCGAGGTTGACCTTCAGTGCCGCAACATTTGGACGTACAGGGTGCCCCAGAAGTCTTGATTTATCTCATCTCGGTCATGTGTTTCTCACATGCGCACGCATAACAATAAATAAAACTTTGTCATTTATAAACTACATGAATCAAATGTTCTGATGCATGTGATTGGCATCAGGTTGATATTTGTCTACGGCCCCATAATGCGGCGTCATTTCAAAGGAAGGAAATGGGCTTATCCTAGCGCGCTCGAGTAGTCAAGCTATATTTTCGAATATATGTGTGAAAGCAGCCCTAAAGGCTTTCCGACCAGAAAACTTTTCTGCTGCTAGCGCACCCTCGGGGAATGCAATACGCCATTTCGTGGTCCGCTTCAGGAAACAAGACTCTGTATCCGAAAAGAAACGGGCATGGTGATACTGGAGTGTTGCAAATCAGGAAAACTTGACGGCGAACTTCCACTGCAAACATCTCCAACACGCGGAAATATCGCCAGGAACCAGCTTGTCCTGTTCCTCCTGGCGGGACCTCTGAGAGCCGCGCATAAGTGCATCCTCAATATTCTCCGCCTCGGCGTGGGCGTCGCTGGCGCGGCGGCGGCAGACGTGGCGCACCCAGAGCCCGCGGCTCGCCGTTATTGTCACAGAGCGGCGGCGGCGCGGCCGATAACCGTACCTACCCCTGGGAGGGGGCTGCTGGTTGCCGGAGGCACTGCTGGCGCCATGCTATCGACGGGGAACAGCCGTCGCGCCGGGCATAGAGTGGCAGCTTTTTGTGCAGATCGGACCCGGTCGCGACGCCGTCACCCCCTGGGGCCGGTTGGACCACAAATTACCTATCGATGGGCCCACTGATGATGCAGTGGGTGATTGGAGGTCACATCAGTTGCCGAGGCGATTCCGCGCCTTTCAAGGGCTACTCACGGGGGAAATAAATGACCTTCGCCCACAACTTACTGGGGACTGGTAAACAAAACAGGCGTTCCTATTTTTACCGAGCTGCATGGTATCTTCAAAAGGGTGCCCGAGAAAAAAAACAGCCCAATTCGTGAGGCATTTCGCCCTCGTCAAAGACAATTTCACTTTAAAAACCTACTTCTCGGCAATAACAAAAGAACGCTTAAAACTCGCATAGCATCACATCTCCTGAAAGATGTGTCACAAAGTTTGTAAAGCCATACCATCACAGGCCAATCCCGCCGTAACTATTGATACAGGAAATTAAGTCGCACGACGCTTAGTACCCCAGCAACTGAAAGGATAAAGCGGTAATCAATGATAAGAGCTGAAATGTACTGACAACGACCGGAAACCAGTCGCGATAAAAGCAGAAATGGAAAGCTTGGAACCGCAGAAGCCGCCAAACGCTTGTCTCCAGCCGTGGACAATAAAAAACCTGGCAAACGAAGAGACGAGAGTCGCATCAATAAAAAACTGTAAACTAAACAGGAACTGCTGTAGGCCTTTCAACAACGCATGCCAACAACGGAAAATGACCAGCTGTAGGCGTGCAAACATATCAATGTTGTGCCACTTGGTGTTGGGATTTGAAAAGACAAGCATGTTTTCTGGAACATTTTAACTCGATCTAGAACAGAAACTAAAAAAAAAAAAACGGATGCGCCGAAATAGTAATGTAAAGCGAAAAAAAAAGATGATAACGAAAGTCACGTTCACCTATGAGGGGGTCTCCACTCTCAGTACGCAGGATACTGAGACTCAGCTTCAATTCAGAACCACTGAAGTCAAACCGAAGCCACCGGTGACAAAGAGAGCCAACTCTACTCCACGTACAGGTCTCACGGGTTTTAGCGGTAGGTTTTGCACCTACAAAATTTAGTGTACTTCAGGCTATACCTTCGTCGTCTAAGTTTTTAAGTGTTGAAGATGAAGATGCGATCGACTTGTTGGTTCACAAGCCGGCCATGATCGTGTAAAATGGCTTCATCGTAGATCGATTAGTTTCTGAGATATATCCGGAAATGTAAAAGTGCAAAACCTACCGCTTAATCTCGCGAGAGCCGTACCATCAGATCGGCGCGGTGTGTTTGTTTCCATAAGCGCTAATGGGAGTACACTGCACATCCATTGGTTAATGTGGGCTTTTGTTAGCGATAATGGGTTTGTGAAAAACAACAGTGCACTTCTTTACCTGGTAATTGAATTATACCTCAGGCTAAACTATTCGATAGCTTGGCTGGGGAATTGAATAAGCTTTCATATGCTAACAGACTAATAGAATAATAACAGCAAGACTCCGGATATGGCTGTGATTGAAAAACTTGATCGATATAATCACATTCAGTCAATCATTTTCTATTCTGAACTTTAAATAGGACGTGAAGCTGCCGACGGCAGCAAAACTAACTCGGCAAAACCAGAAAATAAAAAAGGAAAAAGAACAGACAACCGCGCCGCGCAGGTCATTATTGGGAAGCGGTCCGGTCCCAAACAACACCATGGAAAAGCGGTATCATCATTTCTTTCTCGACGTCTTTTGGGCTGGCTAATTTACGTTACCGGCGGAGCGTATTTCTTTCAGCAGTGACACGGCCGTCGGGGGACAATGCCGGCCAATTCTGCGCGAGTCGCGGCACTCTCCCGGGAAGAACCACGGGAGTTACAAGTGGCTGTCCCCGGGGTGAGGGTATACTATATAGTGAGGTGGAGCCGCGAGTGACGCCAGCCGGCGCTCGAGGTGGGTTGGCAGGCGGCCCTGTTCAGATATTTACGCATAAAACAAACAGCCATTCGTATGAAACAAAAAACCACCTCAGGAATGAATCGATTTTGACAATGGAGATGCCGATTACCATAAAAAAACTCGACAAACACCTATAATCGAAAACCATTGGGTTGCCAAACTAGCCTGGGTAGATATTATGGCTATAATCAGTTTTGAATATCTCTTGTTCGAGGCATTCACAACTGATCCGGGCTCTTCCGAAAAACCAGCAAAAAGACCTGTTGGAGACGTGTGAATTGTTTGTGCTATTTGGATGTCTCAAGCCCTGTCCAGCCCCTACTCTCAACAGACTTAGGTCATCATCCTCGCTACCACCCCACCCCTACCTCTCCCTACCTACCTCCCCCTCTCCCCTCTCCACCCACCTGCGTTGCTGGCAAAGGCCGTGTAGTGTCCACTCCCCGCTCCGGAGCCGTGGTGTACGATCACGGCGGCCAGGTCGTACAGCTGACCCCCGGCCGCCGAGCGGCGCGTCTCGGGAACCTTTCCCAGCAGGTAGGAGGACATGTCGAGCGCCCGCACCGGGAACGCTAGCGGCACGTCCAGCTTGGTTCGGTAGTTGTTGCACCAGCGGAACCGCTTCACGTGCACACAAAGCACCTGCGGGATGGAGAACGGGAGTTACATAAAGCACCTGTGGAGGAACACCTGATAACGAAGAGTACCTACATTACGAAGGAGGTTATGTGCATAAACACAACTGCAAATTATGCCGTTTTGTAAGGTGCATGTTAATCTCTGTGTTAGGTTTGGTTATTCGCAGATCACCCTTCTAGAGGTTAAGTTATTTGAAGAAATTTAAAAGGCGCTTCACGATTTAAGTCAGAAATGTATCTCTTCCTTACGAATACATGAAGTAGGGAATGCGCTCAAAGCCTATTTAGGCGAGCTAAGAACGTAATTGCAAACGTTGATAGGGTTATTCATAATGTTGAGTGGACTCGGATGTGCAAGGCAGTGTCTTAGAAGACAAACCCAGTTTCGCGGGCGGGTGCAGCTTGTAGGGAGATCAATTAAGGGAAGCAGAATGCTTTAATTTATTTCTACGGATAAAATAACAACAAAGGGAACGCATGCCCGAAAGAACTTTGCTGAATAATCATTGGAAGAATCCCCCCACAAAAACGCAGTTACTAATATAATGCAACAAAAACAATATTCTTTGCATAGTCCTAATCGATTTGATGCTAAACCGAATCAAAAAGCATACTAACTCCGAAAACAAGCGCAATATCAATCGTCTTGGCTAGACGGCGAACCAAGAGGCCCTTAGACCCAAACAGGTTGCCGCCATGTTTGATCCCCACTCGTCCACTTTGCCCACCAAGTGATCACAAAATGCATGAGATTGGCATGGACAATCCCCAATAATCCCCCATAACAGCGCTGATACCGTCTGATAGAGCAATGTAATCTCCCCCCAGAGCTTCGGCAGAGCGGACATAAAGCATCCATCGTCCAGATTTGTCCAGAACCGAGGCGCTCTCGGAGTGGACAAATATACCGCCGGATTTGTTCAGAAGCCTACCTCCCACGCACCTCTTTGCCAGGCTCTGTGTTGCCATCGACATCGCGCTGAGACTCTTGACTCAGTTGGTGAACGGCCGTTGGACTACGGTGGATGATATCAATAATCCTGTGTAATTTTAGCCTTCGGGTCCAATCCTAATGATGATATTTTTTCACCGTGAGTGTGTTTTTAAAAATAAAAATGATGCTTGAAAAAAATTTACCTATTATTTGGGATCTTGAATGATATTCAGAGAAACACCTGAACGTGGAGACCAGTTGAAGTCATGCGTTCTCTTAAAATGTGTTGCCACGATAGGATTTTTTTTTCTGTATTCAACAATCAAATTAGACTACAGGGAGCTGAAAGCTCTGGCCATCTCAAACATTTCCCTGTTTCTGAGCGTATAACGAGGCTGAAGCGTTATGCCTAAAGACACGCAAGTTTTGACGGAAGCGAGTAGGATGATGGCCCGTAAAACACATAAATAGTGCTCTCCACAGGAATGGTCTGCCGTTGGATGTGAGCAATAATTTCAGTTTTCCTTATGGTCAGTTTTGGTCCAATCACAAACTGTCAGGAGAGGTTTCTCACAATGTATAAGCTTGTGAAAAATATATTTGCAATGAAAGCTTATGGGTCGTGGCTTAGTGGAAGCAACACTGAAAAACTATTATAGTTTCTTTTTGAAACTGCACCTCACTCTCTACACACTGAAAGGTTGGATCACATGGGTGGGCTAAGAAAGGTAAAAATCAAAATGATATGACAAAAACCGCTGAACATTAATTGATGGAAGCATTATGCAAAAACGATCCCAAACAAAATACCGTGATCATATTACTGTTATTAGTTTATCTTTAGACACTAAAAAGCAAAGCAAAAAGAACTTCTAAGATGGGTTTAAACAGCGGTTCAACGGTTTAAACATCTGTAGTTATAGGGGAGAGTGGGGTAATTTGGCCGCTTTTTTAGAAAACGATGTAACTAAAAATCGACAACACATTTCTGCATTTTCTCAACGCGGACAGGTGTGGCATACATTTTACTTTCTTGGACAGTTAACTTGAAATGATTAAGTAACTACTGATATTGAAATTGTGGCGGATTACAAAGGTCTGCAAAGCGGCCAAATTGCCCCACTAGCAGGGTTATTTGGCCGGGGGTATGGGGCAATTTGGCCGGTGTTAGTTTGAGGCCATGATTTTTGTTATAGGCGAGTCAGCTTCACATTCAGCAATGACGCGTGTCCTACGACGCATTTGAAGCATTTTGGAGGTTGACTCACCCGTCACAGGGGTCGAAAATAGTCAAAATAGCGGCTCTAGATGCGATGACAGTTTTTTACGAATAACTTTTGAAGTAATCAAGTTAGGACAAAACAAAAAACACCATCGTAATTCTCTCGTCATTCCGCATCGAAACATGTATGTGTTGACCTCGAGAGGTCAAGGTCAAGATCAAGGTTGGCTTCAGGTCTCGTTACCTCAGGTCGCTTGACCTCAAGGTTACGTGAGTTCAAGGTCATCATGTATATCATTCGATGCGCCTTGACGAGCTGAACACAATGAGACCATTTGCGCGGCTGTATCTTTTTTCTGTAAGTATTTATTAGCAAAAAAGCGTTAGGTAACCTTTGATGACGTCACATGCCCTTACAGCTGTCCAATAGGAAATATGGCATCAAGGTAGTCAAAGTTGGTCATGAATTATGTCCTTTATGGTATAATTAACCATGACAACTCGGCCGTCCCAGCATAGTGACTCTGAGCGCACCGGCCAAGTTGCCCCGCTAGTCCCGGCCAAATAACCCCACATTGCCATTCTGAAATTTTTTGTCTATAAAGTCGTCATGGCTGTACAGAACTAGATGAAATTGCTCTTGGAGCCGCTGAACACCCTCAAAAATGGCGCTATAATGTTTTAATTCGTTTACAGCCCAAATACTACATGTTATACAAATTTTTAACCGGAAGTAAAAGTTACCATTTTCTAACGTAATTCACCTTTCATTAATTTTGAATAAAACTAAGAGGGGGAAAGTTTTGATATTTGTTCTCGAGTTAATTCTGCCGATGACAAATGAATAGAGACTGAAGTTATTTCATTCACTTTTATCAGCTTTCGTACAGGTGGGGGCGGCCAATTTACACCACCGGCCAAATTACCCCACTCTCCCCTATTGGACACGGTTACTACACGTGTGTTGAGAGTTTACTACACGGTTTAAACATCTGTTTATTCGGTGACTGCGTCCTGCCACTCACGTTTGGTAGGCGCCGTATCCAGAATTTTTTGGTGGACTTTTGCCGCTGTTTACAGTTATTGCAGTAGTAGAGTTCTGTGTCGGCCAGCTCTTCCACGTCCAGAAACAGGTCGAGACAATCTGCGAACAACACAAACAGTGCTCAGACGCGGCTCAGCTCAGCAGACACACGGCAAACACGGCAAATGTATGGCTCAGACGAACGACAAACACTGCCCAGGCACGGCCCAGACGAACGCGGACACGGACAGCACAGGTGAGGCTTAGACGGACAACACGGGGCGTTCAAGGCTCAGGCGTTGTCGTCGTTGTCTTGGGTTAGGGCGCACAGCCTCTTGGGGCCCAGGCGTCCAAAACGGGTAAGGCGGACGGCACAGAGACAGCCACAGGCACAGACGCACGTGATATGATGATGCACACAACCTTTCAATGTTCTCATTAGCCAGTGGTCATTCACCATTGACGACGAACATACGTTGCCCACCGACCCTGAGCTATCATCAACCACATTAACCGTCTTTTCAGAGCGGTCAAAGGCACAACAAAGCGCCAAAAGCATCACACACCTGTCCAATGTAATGATATTGATAGACCCTCATGATGCTTCTATGAGGCACAAATGATAGCTCATGAAAAGGCACTATTTCCAGGCCTTGTTCACTGGCGGCAGGACACCACATCAGTCGCCTTTTCACCGTTCAAAGATCCCCTCATAATCCGTTTTCAAAAGAACTAGACAACCACATTTGCTGATTAGCTGTTAGACCATTATTATCACCATGCAAAAGCTGAAGAAGCATTGCTTTTCATAAATTATCATAACTGACAATAATATTGCTGGATATTCATGATCAAAACCATACATACTCCGGATACAGAATGGGGAAAAATATAGCGATGGAAAGTCCAAAACCCAGTACAAGAAGCCCATGCCTCTACATATTATAGCCCCACAAAGCACCGCCAATGACTTGTGCCAATCGCGGAGGCTGGAAAAGGGAGCGCCACCGAGCCCCGAATCCGACCACCAGCGGACAGCTAAGACCCGGCACTTCCCATCACCACATATACCTCAGATCCACTGGTCTGAGAGCGGAACAACGCTCACTGCATTTTACAATGAAAGTAGTTAGGTATCTACACTAGAAGTATGGCCATTGGCCAAGTTAATGTAAATTACGAACGGATTTTGTAAAGCCCATTCCACGTACGTACGTTAGCTCGTTTGTGACTTGTGCTGTACTTACATACGTTTCTATTGTGCACATAACTGCAACTAAGTGCGGAAGTGCGTATCGCTCTGGAATCTGTGGTAAATTAATGAGCCCTTCCTTCAAATATGACCCAATTGGAGAACATTGCCAAATGAAAAGCGGAGTGGTAGATCAGACGAAAACATCCGTGATTCGGACTCATCTGCTTTCATGTGAACCAACAAACGAGCTCATGAGAGCTACTGACAATACAGATCGACGCGTAATAATTCATATGACACGGAAGAACTTGTGGAGATCAAAGTCCCAACCAAACTAATATCGGTGCTCATGGCGCTGAAATCTTATATATATATATTCAAACAGACAAAATCACGTTGGATGCACTGTGAGAACATCTGTCATACACTGAACGGCAAACAGAGGTGGTGTAGTATCAACAGAGGTGGTGCAGTAGGTATCAGTAATTCTAAAGCCACATCGTTGAGCGCAAATGACTTCCTGGAAAGGCGCAAAAAAGGACAAGGCTGGCGACTGATACGACTGATACGATACGATTGCTCCACCACATTAACAAAGTTACACTAACGATTTCTTGGTTTATATGTTTTAAAAACTATCGTATCGAAATTCACGCCTGCTTCTGCGATTAGCTGTTCTTCCTCAACTAAAACCGCGTACCGCATACACACAGCAAGACGTCTTTCTAGTCGCACCAGGAAATGTTGAATTTAATGAAAAGAATCAAAGCAGAAAAAAATCAGACCTTGACGCAATCGTCACACATTCAAGTCCGCTGCCAGACCAGCTGGGCACCAGAAACCAGCCTCAGACATCTCGACTATAGGATCATCTCTCGAAACCCGCCCGCCTCAAAACAGCCCTCCCGGCGGACGCCTATGGCTTTATCCCCGAGACTGGCGCGGATCGCATCCATTTGGACACCAAAGCATCACAGGCATCACTATGCCGGACGTGTGATACTCGCACTCCAAACATAAAACTCCACCAATGGAGGAGCAAAAAGCGACCAGCGCCCGCGCGAGAACTCCGTTTCCGGAAATAAAACCTCACTGCTGTTATTCTGAGGACGGGAAGGGCCACAGACAGTCTCCCGGCACAGACACTCACTCCTCGCGCTGTTTTGTAACAGAAAGGCTCACCCCGGATAGCCAGATACGGTTCACTGCCGACGGAGCAGCAATACGGCAGTGTGGGAGGAGGCGTATTTCGATGAAGATATAAAGAAACAATACGGCTGTTGGATGACAAATTGGATGGTCTTAACCAGGGCACTAAAGAGTCGTCTTAACACGACCAGTGGGCGTGCGAGAAAAGAGTGAGGAGGCAGGCAGTTTATTTTGATTTTATATTTATTGTCTGAGACAAGCAGGAGGTTGATAGCTTTCAAGGCAAATATTCGCTTAAGGAAATTCAAATAAACTATCTGAACCCGGTTTTCACGTACGCATTGCTACCCTGACTAGTGACTACCTGCTCCATCTTACTCCTAACCATCGATTTTTCCACCTGAGCACTGCGCAATTCCAATCACCCGTTGGGCAAATGCTTTAACAGTGCACCCGCGCGTCCACTGAATAGTGTGCTACCAGGCGGATGGAGCCATTGTACAGAATTTTGGAGCGCTAAGCAAACCGGAAAATAATGACGACGGCAAACGTCCGTCATAAAAGAAACGCCAGGGGCCCAGGGCAGCACTGGGGCAGCATCACGCCCATTGAATGTTTTTCAAGCTCACAGCACATGCAATATGAGCACAGGCACACCCGGGCGTGGAGAGCGCTGATAAGGCGAAACGAATAGACGCTCCATACGTTCCAGCCCTGCCTATAGCGGATGCCCAACTCCTTACACAGATGTCTCGAAAACGACGACAAACACCGGGTGAGTGGGTAAATTCGAAACACCGGCCCAAGCTGCGAACCCCATCACGAACGCCAGCAGTCAACAACAGTCAAAGTCGGCGAACAAACCCTTTGATCCGCCGTCCGGAGTTGGTCAAAGGGAGCCAGCCGGCGCCGCGTGTCGGCGCTCTCGGCTGCAGGGCAGGCTTCTGCTCTGATGAACTGACTTCGATAAGTTGAACGAGATCACCTCGATCACGTTGGAAATCTCGAAAAACAACGCCCTTCCACACTTTCGCGTAAAAGCACGTCAGCTAGCAAACGACATACGACGCCCCGTACTAGCTAAGTCTCATCCCCTCCTTCTAACAAAAATATAGCACTTTCTCCACCATCCTCTTACCATCAACCCTTCTAATCAACCGTCCATTTACCCTCTACGGCTCAGGCCCAAACTCCCGGCGCCAGAGCTGCCGTTGGACCTGGAGAGCCGGCGGTGGGATGGCCGCCGCATGGCGCGTCATATTTCCGGCCCGACGGCGGTGGCCTTAATTGGCCCGCCGATCTGGGGCGTTGCTGGGAGCGTGCCGTCCGAGGCAGTGGTCACGCGGGGTCAGACCTGGTCAGACCGGGTAGGACGGCGGGTGGTGACATTATGTCAGGAGAAAGGAATATACAGCAAACATACAACAGGAGCTGAAATACATACTGTGGATGGGGTGAAATTATGATCATCTTCACGAGGACTATGTTTTGTCATTATTTTGCCCCTAAAATATTACTATTGGTATAGTTGGAGAGACGATTGCACTGCTTTTTATATGGGGAGGATTGGAACGTCAACACCAAATGGGCAAAAGTGTTATTCGGCATTCCACATCAAGTTAATGTAGCTGTGATGCTAGAACCACAATAAAGCAACGAGGCAGGTCAAAACTGACAAATCGGGAAACAAAAATTTCAACTCCTGCCGGTGTATTCAAAATTTACATCAAACCATCAGCTCTACGCTCGTTCGGGACACACCGGGTGAAAACCGTCAGCTCTACCGGTGCCCGGGGGTCACTGACCTGACAGAGGGGGTCACTGACCTGCCAGAGAGCACATGGCCTGCTGCTCGCCATCTTTGTTCTTCCGTTGGCTGGCGAACCGGTCCGGAATGTCCAGCGATAGGTCCAGAAACGGGTCGTGCTTTTTCGACTCGGTCCGGCAGATCAGGCAGGTGACCTGAAGCACACAGAGATGACGTGTCAGGTCAGAGATCACGTGCGAGGGGCGCCTAAACCAGGGATGGTTTGGGAGATGGATTGTTCAGATAACAGCGCGAAAGAAGCTGTCAAGTTTTCACCTCTGGACGTAACCAATGCCAACGCCATGCCAACCATATTTCATTGTGTCACATAGATGAGGCGCGTAGCATGATAAGTCAGGATTAAGGATATATGGCAAGTCGTTACGATTTACGCAGTTCGGTGCATCAGTTGCCAATGTGTCAGCCCCAATCAATGAAAGCATTACACGTTGCCATTAAAGGCACGCCACATAGTTTGTCGTGAAGCAGCGCACAATACCCAATAGCATTTCCACGGCAATTATGGACTGCTCTTGACGACTAGAGCTAAAAACACCGCGACTTCTAGGCCAGGGCACCAATAAAGCTTCCCCGTCCTCCGCAATTCCATCAGAAAAAGAACAATATCCAGAACAATACTCAGTATCCAAGCACAAAAGAACATCTAATCAAGACCAGAAAAGACACTTCGGGACTTCTCAGTCGCCCACTCGACTAATCGCTGAACTCCATCGAAGAACTCTCGACGAGCGTCTCACATTACGTACACCTGCCAAGAATCGATGCTCGAGCGGACAGGCGACATTTGAGAGCACTTGTGTCTTTCGCCTGGCAACGCATCCGGCTATACCGCGGAGTCAGGTTCAATCGGAAGCGGGCCGTTGGTTCTCAGCCATCGGTGCTTGGGCCAGCAGTATCGACCCAACTGGTCAGACCGGGGTAAATTTAGTCACCAGAGGCCAACAACAGCATGCCGGATCACTCGTGTAACACCTAATCGAAGTGTGCATACGAGTATGTGGAAGCAATTAGGGGGAAAGACGTGGGATTCAGCAAGACGAAGATTCGTTTACTCGGACCATCACCGGCCTCCCAACACACGTCCCACCTGTGAATCAGCGCAAAGTTATGTGGAAAAGAGTTACATTCATATTACATACATACAACTATACATACAACTATACTGACTAAAATTCTACAAAATATCGCGCCTACTTACAAGAAAGCCTTCCACTTACAATACAAAATATACTCAAAGCTTCAGATCCATTCCCCAAAATGATTAGCCCGCCTGGCACAAGGCGAGCCAACCTTCCCGTGGCCCCCTTCCGGGTCTGATCTCTTCCCACATAAATAACTCAGCTAGCCGTACGCTATTCGCCGCACGATTCTTCCTGCCGGGCCGGAGCGTCCATTCGGGCAGGCCTGCAGAATTCAGTACCAATCGCGGCCCTCAATGCGTCATGACCCGTTCTCATCGCGGCGTCATGGACACGCGCGAGGGCTGTCAATCTTCGAGCGGCCAGCAGCGGCAGCGGACAGGGTTCGAGCGGCATGCGGCGGCATGGCGGTAGCGGCGAACAGCGGACCAGCGAGCGGCGAGCGGCTGTGAGGGGTTGACTTCCGTAGTGTGCGCCGCGGACACTTTATGAGCTGTCTTGCATCCTAGGAAACGTGTCCAGTTCACTACTCGTATATAACACGCCGAAGCAGTGACGCACAATCTAATGGAGCCATCGGAGGACAATCAAGGGGCGTCATTACGGTAAGCGGACAGGATCTGGGCCTCAGCGGAAGCACCCATCCACCCCAGATGCCTTATCAGGTAATTCACCGTGGCGCCCGGCCGTAAATTAACTGAGACCATTGCTGATTCCAGGCTCAGGAGCGCTGAGCGCCGGCTGAACACAATGTCGGCCTGCATATTCAATTGCAATACTGCTAAGTGTTTGGGTAAGCGGCTGGTCCCGCATGTATAGTGGATAGCTTGGGTTAACTTATAACTAGCTGTGGTTGTTAATCTACTAGCATTTGCAAACGCACCTTACGTAGTTGGGGCAAACGCCACACCTTTAAGAAGTAATCAAACAGAATAGCAGTGCCTTTGTTAGAAAGTAAACAGATGACGAGTTCCTCTACTTGTAATTAGAGGGAGGGAGGGGCCAATTTCATCTTTTTTTTTAATTTTAGTCCGAACCTTTTGATGGGAAGGATTCACAAGGACAGAGCCATCGCTAAGCGAAGCTTGTTGCGATGACCCTGCCCTCTACCCTCCGATCGCGCAATTCCGATTCTATGGCAGAATTTGGAGTCCAAAGTTTAACGTGCGCACAAAGCCGCGCACGGCCGGTCCCCTCGCTGACTTCGCCTGGCTACGGCCTGCCACCAACCGCAACCATACCTGTCAGGAGACCCATAAATGTCGAGCGCCCGTCGCGCTTCGAACCCGGACTGTCATAACCGGGAACGCGTGCTCTCACCACGCGGAGTCCAACGCTCTAACCAACTGAGCTACGAGACCGGCATCCAGTGGCGTAGACAGGGGGGGGGCATGGGGGCCATGGCCCCCCCTTTCCGCCCAGCCACCCAAATGGCGCCCCAATTAGCGCCGACTAGGCTGATGCCGTTTTACAGAGAGAACATGAATTAAAAAATGATGTGCAGGCAGGGATCGAACTCAATATCTCTTGTGGGGTGCCTGGACACCTAAATAATCTCCAGGGCACCCCCAAATACGACCTGAGCCCCCAAATGTTGAAGGGCGCCCCTCCGGAAACCAGAATATTCCGAACCCCCAGGGTCGATGGCGCCCCTGAAGAGCCGCTGGCACCCACCTAAACGGAACAGTCGCCCCATTAAAGCTTGATGGCGCCCCTCTAGAGCACCCGGCGCCCCTCTGAAGTTCACAGCTGCCCCAATCGACCCATCCAAGATCGATCCCTGAAACCACTGGCGCCCCTCTAAAGCACCCGCATTCTTCTCAAGATCACAGTCGCCCTATCCGAGATCAATAGCGCCCTCAAGAGCCACTAGCGCCCCACCCCCTTGAGACTGAAGTCGTCCCGCTTGAGACTAAAGTCGCCCCATTCAAGCCCAATGACGCCCCTCCAGAGCGTTCGGCGCGCTTCTGAAGATCACGCCCATCTAAACGAAGGTTACAGCTGCCCCATCTTAAGATCGATGGCAGCCCTCTGAAACCAATGGCGCCTTTCTAGACTACCCGTCACCCCTCTGAAAATCACATTCGCCCCATCCGAGACAACGCCCCTGGAGACTACAGTCGGCCCACCCAAGCTCAAGCCCCTCCAGAGCCCTGCGGCGCCCTGCTGAAGGCAACAGTGGCCCCATCCATGCCCAATGGCGCCCCTCAACGCCGTTCTAAAGATCACAGTCGCCGCATCAATCCGAGGTCTATGGCGCCCCTCAAGAGCCACTGGCGCCCACCTGAACCGGGGCTTCAGTCGGCCCATCCTTGATCAATGGCGCCCCTCTGAAACCACTGATGCTCCTCTGAAAATCCCAGTCGGACCATCCGAGATCAATGGCGCCCCTCCAGAGCGTCCGACGCCCTACTGAAGGCAGCAGTGACTAGTGGTGTCAATTTCAGAAAACGTATGTTTAATGTCCGTCCAATGTCCAATACTTACGTCGACTGTCCGTCCAAAAATGTCCAAGCCAGCCATTTGTCCAAAGATGTCCGACATCTAGGCAATAGTTTACACTCAACACCGTTATTTAATTCGTTTTTAATGTATCGTCACCAGCTCAAAAGTGTTAATCATATGGAAAACTGAGCTTTCTAATGGCCAATCAATGTTAAACACTAAAAAAATTGAGGTGTAGCAAGCGATTGTCCAAAGTTGTCCAAAGCCTGCTGTCATTGTCCAACCAAATTCCGAATTGGAAATTGGACAAAATCGGAATTCCGAAGATTCAAGTTCCGATTGACACCGCTAGCAGTGACCCCATCCAAGCATTGCACCCCTCTAGAGCACCCGGTGCCCTTCTGAAGATCACATTCGCCCTATCCGAGGTCGTTGACGCCCTCCAGTAGTTACTGAAGGGAAACTGAATTGGATACTTCGGTCGCCCCCCCCGAAACCACTGACGCTAGGCAATTTTTTGACAATGGGGCTTTCTCATCGACACCAAGGGCCCTTTTCAAGATGCAGCAGCTAGGCGACGCCGAGCTGGGCTTGGATGTGCCAAGCGTTCCTTATTAGGCAGCCTTGTAAGTGCCACCCTCGTTGCGATACCGCCCCTCAACGCGACGCTGCCCCTTCACCGTGCAATGCCACCCCTCAATGCAAGTGGCGCCCCTCAGCGCTGTGCCGCCCATTATTGCGATGCCGACAGCGCCTAGCAGTGGGGTGCCGCCCCCAGCGTAAGCGTTTTTTTATTGAACCTGCTGGGGGTGGTTGAACACCCACTTCTAACTCAGCTTGTGGGCCACGTCGAGACTCGCAGTAGGCGACGTTCGAAAGAGCGTCAAAAACTATTACAAAACTACTTAGATCATTTTAAGGTTAGGTCGAACTGGTCGAAGGTCAGGTCACCAGCGACAACCGAAAATCAAATTTCGCCGATGTTGACATTTTTCGACAAAGGGGCGCATAAGTCAGGATTCAGAAAGAGATTGAACTACAGCGCCGCAGCAAAGCGCATATTCGATAGCTCTTTTTTATGCTCTCTCTTATTGATTATCTCAGATTTGACCTAAGGTAAACGTTTTAGCCTCAAAATATACGTTTTCGCGGAGGACGTTTATCTGTAATACCTTTTGGCTCAGACCTGCATGAGATTAGTTCAACCAGCATCGTGTTCCATTTTTCGAGACAGACGAGTCAAATGAACTAGAATTTGACATTAAAAGGGCATTTGAGAATTTGACCTAAGGTAAAGGTCATAACCTAACCGGTAAAGGTCATATTGCATATTAGTCGATCCATATTTTCGAGAAGGAAAATAATTATATAGGCTCTACCATATCTCTATCAAAAGTTATTGTCCAAAATCTACTGGAGACCTTTCATGACCTGAGATGACCTCAGTAACATAAAAGTGGTCACATCACGAATGACATTTACCGATTAAATGTGTCATATTTACCTGCATCCCGATGGTTGAGGTTGTTTTCGTTCAGAAGAAGAGCATT